TTTCCCCTTGGGATTGAACTTGCCTACTGCAAAGATACGAAATCAACGTTGACTGAACGGCTATTATTGTGAAGAACGTTAGCGGAAGGTTTAAGAAGTCTGACCAAAAAGTGCGAAGGGACTGAGGGGTTCAGAGATTGGACAGCGATTAAACATGACAGGCGTCTAACCTGGGGGCTGCTTGAAGAGAGTCATAGCAACAGAATATTCATCGTCATTATAAATGCTGCTATCAAACTTACCGACTTTCTAAAATTAGGAAGTGTGTTCTACGAGGACAGCGGACACTAACATTTGCCTTTCCGATTTATTTGTGGTATGCGTCCTGAATTTGCGGTATCATTAGCTCATAAAGGATAAGATGTCAGAAATGACCAGCCTAGTTTCTCTCTTTTGTCTGTGACATTTCTTGATTCTTGATGGTTGATCTCTGTGTGACTGTCTGTGTAAGCTTGTATCTCCAAGACCAAGCGGATTGCTCAAAGTATGTTGGTGCACTCTACCCCGATGGGACTCTGTATTTCACGAAGAATGTTGACGGTTGTTCGGGACAGGGCTTCAACTCACGAGTCAACGTTTGAGATTCACTGTTCCAGACAACAGTTTATGTACTTGAACGTAAGCCCATAATTGCGCTAATTGAGATATGGGGGGTGCTGAAATAGAGGATACGTCCTGCAGGAGTGAAGACTCGCTATATGAGTACTGATTCATACGGTTTCTCTGAATCGTCCCCCACCAGAAACCCAGCTGTCATCTGCAGTTTCGCAAAATAATGCTCTGCACGGCGACCACAAATCAGTAATCACTGAGCGATGGACTAAAAAATAAGGGTCATAGGTTAGCCTCTCCTTACAACGTGTTTGAAGATCGACCCAGTTTGAAGAGATTAATCAGCTCTGTCGTGGTTAATGTAGACAGGCACGTTGTTTGGTCAACCAGAGCCATGCACCTTCTGAATCCAAACTTCAAACGTCCCACAGGGACAGCAATAAGCAATTCCACAGGCAGTCCAAAATATTTCGGACAATTTCTCAACTAAATCAGAGATGTCACCGCAGTGGAATGCGGCAGCCCCTACTAACCTATCAAGGACAGCACTGCTCGTCCCTCCGAAGGCAGAGACTAGATAATATTCCCTAAAATTCGGATTACCACACTGTCTGCAAGTTGACTGCGATTCGTCGACGCAGATACGCTGCCGAAACACTATAACACAGCAGCCTCCGTTTCCATTCCCTTAATTCCTCTGCAAGCATGTCCTCTGCCACTAGGCCAACCTGAAATGTCGCTTCTCATTTGGAGAATCAAGTGGCCACTCGCTTTCCGGAACAAGGTTAGTGGCGCTGAACCGTCTCGACGATGCACATCGTGATGCTGGACTCAACTCCGCCGTCGCAAACGACATCGTCATTTATTCCTTACAGATTGAACGACCAAATCATATCTTTGAGGCTACAACTACACGGGGTTAACGTCGCCGGCAATGGCAAACCACGACAACACGAAGGAGAAGTTCCGCTAAGATCTGTGTACCTCATAGCGTCTGTGTCGAATGCAGACAGGTTGACCGTCTTCGCTATCTTAAGCGGTCGAATAGACATGGACCCCTCCACCTAAGAGGGAAGGGCGCCATTGCAATGATAATGGATGCCTGCTGCTGATGACTTGTACAGGACGCTATTTTCTCAAATGATCAGTCGCCTGAAGACTACATAGCTACACCATTAATCTCCTCAGTGGCAACTGCTGTACTATGTGCACGTCATGAGGCGTGATTGCCATGACGTGCCTGTGACAAAATACAACGTGTGGTACCGAATACTGCGTCGACCACCGTCTGCTGTTCACGAAAATAAGACTGAAAGTTCTAGCATGGAGATGGTCTCAAGGGGAGAAGGCGCAAAGGAAGCTGAGCACGATAGTTGGACTCTCCGACGAAATGACGACCAGCTTGTCCCACTCTCTGCCCTGGATGAGGAAGGCGTTGAGCAAACTGACAGAGACTGCAGAATGCTATCCGTACCACTCCCTCTGAAGTTATCGGGTCTCCACAGTAAAAACGTTGGGACTATTTCCGTGATAACAAGGACCAGATATGGCGGTCAATCTCCGAGAGGAAAAATATCCGCTGGATCTACACGACTCATAGCATAGCCCAAAATAAAGTCGAATACTTCCAATGTCGTCGCTAACTGGGGCAGAGGAAAAGACGAAAAAACTGACCGACTACAGTAGGTGGGCCAACTCATGAAATCTCAACAGAAATTCCGAAATGCGTTTTCGGTTCGAAAAGATTAATTAAGTAGGGTTGTAAAATCAATCATCGTGCAGCATAATTCTATGATAATTCCGTTACCCCAGGACGCCGGCTTTCGAAAAAAGCTTCTTTTGGTTGCACCCAAAAACCATACTTCGTAAAAATGCCTACTTAAGTAGCATGCATTTTTTCACTGATTTTCGATGTCCTTAAAAATTCTATTATATTTCGTGGAAAACATGCACAGAAATGTTCATTCTTTTGTTTAATCAGCAGAAAATTAGGTCTTCTTTTGATGTTACGCTCGAAGGAAGGGTATAATTCGGTTTTAAAAAGTTTCCAATTGTGCGATTTTTCAATACCGTGAAATGGCCCTTCATAAAACGTCCTGTCTCTTTATTTACCAATCTGGCTTGTAAAGTTAACAATTTGGCTCAAATACACTACTTAATTTCATGAACCGCATGCGGTCCCCTTTTAATATCGTTGAGAAATGTATGGTTTTCTGTACGCGGAAATTATACGGCTTGTAGTTTGGAAACCATGAATGCAAGTGTAGCGACAGGTGGGGTTCAAAATTATTCGGGAATTGGAAAAGTTTCATAAAACCAAATTATACCCTTTCTTCGAGCGTAACATTAAAAGAAGACCTAATTTCCTGCTGATTAAGCAAAAGAATGAACATTTCTGTGCATGTTTTCCATGAAATATAATTGAATTTTTAAGGACATCGAAAATCAGTGAAAAAATGCATGCTACTTCAGTAGCCATTTTTACGGATTATGGTTTTTGGGTGCAGCCAAAAGAAGCTTTTTCGAAAGCCGGCGTCCTGATAACGGAATTATTATAGGATCACGCTGCACGATGATTGATTTTACACCCCCTACTTAATTAATCTTTTCGAAACGAAAACGCATTTCGGAATTTCTGTTGAGATTTCATGAGTTAGTCCACTTACTGTACTTTGGGGGAGGAAAGTGGAGGATACGCAGACCACGGTGAAATGAAGGGCTGCTTCGAGACTAGGAAGACAGACTATAGTCCCCAGTCCCTTGGAACTGCGCTGAAGCGCTGCACTCACTACTTCATTTGCGTCCTCAGTCGTCCATCTTCGGTCCGAGGGGAACCCATTAATAGACCTCCTCAACCGGAGACCAGAGCTGACTTCGGTCTTCCATCGTCCCCATAGGAGACGCTCGGGGTGGTACGACGGATGTTCAGTGGGGAAGCGGTGGACATGTGCTGAATTCCAGCAGTTAACCCTCGCCTCATCGACAAACTTAACTCACTGTTTCAGAAAATATGGTGACAAAAACAGTTCCAGTAAGATATAGAGGGTGCAACCACCATTCGACCATACGAACTCAAAGGAAACCGGTAAACCTGGACAATCACCGGACGATCTTCCTCCTCAGTATTGCTAACATAGTCTGCCTTCACATTGAGGGCAGTGATTACCTATTGATGACCCATATACCAGAGTAATCCCGAAACAATCAGCATGGTCCTCAGAGCCCGTTAAATGCAGGAAACGTCCGAGTAATCGAAACTCGGTCTTAGCAGCACCTTGCAGGTTTAACCAAAGTCGTCGACATCATCAGCCGTGATGAACTATGGAAATTCGCGTTCAAATTCGGATGTCAAGAAGAATGGTTCGCACAGATAGTGGCGGCATGGTGGTTCGGCGTGGCGACGCGTTTCGCGGACATTTGTTCAAGCTCACAAGTATTTGTGGTGATAAATGGAGTGCAGCAGGTTTGCGTACTCAATCCCGCCCTCTTCAGCATCATGTTCTCCGTTATGCTAGTGTACGTCCACCGTGAGTAGCGGCCTAGAAGCAACATAAATTATAGAGGCGATGGACGTTTTCTCAACATCCGGCGTATGCAGCAAAAGCCAAAGTATGCGAAGGCAGTGTCCGCAACCTCTTATTCGCGAGCTAGAGTGTACCGAAATCAGCAACCGAAGCAGGCATGCAGCGGTGACCTCAGTCCTTTAGTACGCTGAGGATAGTGGCCAGGTACCAACTGATAACAACTGAGGAATACAAAGAACCCATGCTATTTTTCGGTGGGATTCGCCTCATA